TAAGAGAAATAGCAACAACAAATATTTTTTCACCTAGAAACCGAAAACAATAGAAATAAAATATGAGATGTAAACATATTTGTAATATTAAATATATATAAGTAAAAATAACTTCAACAGAAATAATACTAGAGAAAAGTTTGCTCTAAACAGCAAATACATGTGTGAACATAATTTAAAGCCCTAAAGCCATGACATTTCCTGCCATGTAGCTTCATTCTCAGAGGATTGACAGCAATCACACCTGCAATGGAAACAAACCTTCTCACTCATCTCAAATAAAAAAAATCTCAGTGTAACTGAAACAAACCTCCTCAAAATTATTAATTTGTTCAATAATTTAAATTTCATTTTGTGAATATTTTATTTTAATGCTACTAATTTGTTTTTAATTAACCCTGTCTTGAAACTAAGAAAAGACATATTCTGCGAGCTGATTTCAATAACAAAAATGACAGAACTGTCATTTTCACACCTTGGATGCAAAGGGTTGCATTTCTTGTGTTTTGTTGCTAAGGATAGAGGGTATCACAGATAGTCTCACCACCTGGCTCAGAGAAGGAGGACTTCATGCTCACTCGCTGGCATCTTTTCTCCCAGGACATGGTCCCTCTGCACACCAGGCTGGATCTGCCCAGGCCCTGCACCTCGAGAGAGCACAGCGGTCCTAACCGTGCAGAGACCTCTTCTGCTTACGCATGGAGGCGACAAGAGTCCATGAAGTAGGTCAGCGTCACAGCCAATCCACCATGGAATATTTGTAATATCTGAAAGCTTCTTATTCTTGTAATGTTCAGTGTGCATAATCCAGTGGTCCTTCGTGTTTCGGCTCTGTTCTTTTCTACCTCCTCAAGGCTTCGCTGGAGTCTTCCGCTGAATTCCTTGGCATCCAGTTGGAAGACAGGGAAAAGGAGAACAGAACATTAACTGAGAAGTTGTTTGTGATCTAAATCCGGACATAATATATGTAATTTCCTCTCCTACTCCACTGGATATGACTCGATCATCTATCTGCAGATAATTATCATGTTAGAAGCGAAATTGACAAAATTAACAAGAGCCAGTTGGTAAAACCATAAGAAGATACAGATATAACAAAAACTTCCACAATCATAAAACTTTATAAACTAAATCACAGTAACCTTCCCTGCAGACACCAGCAACTTAGTCTTCATTCATGCAACTACTTGCATGTGAAGTAGCCTAGCTGCTTATTTTACTGTAGCTGTAAAACAGAAAATGAGTACTAATACATAACTGAAAAAGCTGGTGTTAAAGATATTGATGGATCAGTAAAATTGTATTTTAGTTGTTTTGCTATTCAAACTAAAAAGCAGCTATTCAGTTATTTAAACAAAATTTAGTCGAAGTTACAGAGAGGGGCATCCCTTCCAACCTTTCTAATTTGAAGCACTTACTGTGTTCTGCATATGCACACTCAGGAAAAGACTGAAACAGAGTCACACATCTAGTCCAAATCTTTGAAAACAGGAGATCTCATTTTCCTAGAGTGAACTGCCACCACAAGGGTTATAAATGCAAAAATGTATATTTAAGTTCCCCTCCAAACCTAATTTAATCATTATTTATATTATTTATGGCTTTCCTGTGAATAATGCAAGCACTACTAAAGTTGAACATTTATTTGTTTGTTTATTAATTTATGTATTTATTTATAGGAGACACCATATTGCTACCTTATCCACACTGGCCCTTAACTCCTGGGCTCAAGTGACCCTTCTGCTTCAGCCTCCTAAGTAGCTGAGACAGAGGTGCACAGCCTCATGCCTGGTCTGAAACAGAACTTTCACATCACCAATTGAATTTTAAGAATTTCCTTAGTAACAATAGCGTGGATTTTATTTGGCCTATCTGGATTTTGCTTATGATACTTTGTTTCAGCTTGCTCCATCTTCTAAATCATTTACTTCTTATTGATGGATTGACTGATTTTTTTTGTCTTTTTGAGACAGGGTTTCACTCTGCAGTTCAGGCTGGCTTTGACCTCATTCTGTAGCCCAGGCTGGCCTCAAATTTGCAGTGATCTCTTGCCTCAGGCACCCAAGTGCTGGGATTGCAGGTATGCACCACCACACCTTATATTAGAAATATATTTTTCAATCTTTCAAGGATTCAAGACAGATATTGTATGCGAATTAACTTCTGATGGGTTATGTCTGTATAAATTTTTTGTAAAAGATATCTTAAATCAAAACATTTAATAACTCTAACAGGTCTTTCATTAAACTGTAGTAAGATGGAACCATTAGGAGGGGGGACCATCCATTTCCCCATAATTTCTTTTCTTGTAGTCAGTTTGTTTTAGAGAAACACAGTTTTCAAAATCTTCTATTTACATTATTTATGATACACAACTTCTTCATAGTCTGCCATGTTGATTGATTTTATTCAGACTTTTATACATCTTTCCAAATATATATAAGCACAATGAAGTATAGCTGGGGTATATATTTGAAAATGCAAGTAAACACATACATCCTCTGTGCTATTATTCTATATTTTTCTGAATATCCTCTCTGTATTTTTCTGAGTTATTATTTTAAAAGTCTATAAAATGTCTAGAATTTCAAAGATACAGTTTTCTCTCTCCCCAAAATTACATGGCTTCACATGCCATGTTCAAACATTGTATTCTAAATTTTGGTTTTAGATGAAAAAAAGTTTGTGTTATTTTACTATGGCAATAAACTATGTGTTTTCCCAACTAATCCTGGTCTATAAAATGTTTAAATATCTTAGGACTAATTATATGAGAATTTTCCTATCGAATAATTAGCAGGTTGCTTTATGAGTTGACTGGAAACTCTTCCACATTCAGAATTTTCATTTCTTCTCATGTCATATAATATATTACCGTGTCTCCCCAAAATAAGACCTGACCAGAAGATGAGCCCAAGCTGCCTATTACCATGATGATGCGCAGTGTCACACAAAAGGTCATTCCCATGGTGATGTGCAGAGTCATGCAGAAGGTCATAGCCCACAGTTCTGTCACTGGGCAGCTCCTCTGCAAGGTAGGTAGGTGAAGATGGGCTGGTGTTTTGATCTCTGGTCTTTAAAGCTGATCACTTTCTGGTTAGGTTTTATTTTTCAGGGAAACAGGACAGAGGAATAGAATTAAGAAGGAAGAGGATAAAATCATTCGATAATGTTCTAAAATTTTTAAAGAATAGACGCAAAAGTGTTGCCACATAGGTACTATATTTCAAGTGCTCTTTGTTATCTGATTTTTCCGGAAAGTGAACTTTATTACACATGCTTCACAGAAACAAAAAGGCAACTTCTAAAAAGCTGCAGAGATGACAGAATCTTGGACATCACACAGCTAGAACTTAACTGTACCACACAGGTGGAAAATGCGGGCTCCAGAGTACCACCCCAGAGTACAAATCAGCTAAACTAGACGAGGCATGTAGACTGAATATGGATTGAGATGTTAGGAAGTTGGTGTGTTCTGTGGAGTAATATGGTGGTTATGAAGCAGCTGTCACAACAACAGTTTTATTTTATAGCCACAGAGCAACAACAAAACTAGGTGATTAATTTACTTGAGATTCCACAGCTAGATCTGAGCTTACGGTCTCCTCTGCATCACCCACCCATTCTGGAGTGTTTTCTCAGTTCAGTTCAGTTCAGTTCATCCAAGTGAATGAAAGAGCAAGTGTTCACTGACCATTTGTTCTGGGTTTTATTGTTACAAATTTTCATGATTAATTTTAGGTACATTAATAGAAGTATTTTAGAATATATGAATTCAAAATCCTAAACATCAAAAAAAGATTTACATTAAAAATGAAAGCTCCTTACTCTCACAAATCATCAGAGCAAAGCAAATAAAAATCATAAGATGTCATATCACCCAATATAGAATGCTATCATTTAAAAAAAAAAAACTAAAAATAACAAATGCTAGAGAAGATGTGGAGAAAGAGAAACTCATATAAGTGGTTGGTGGAAATGTAAATTCATACAGCCATTAAGGAAAATATGTGAATTTTCCTCAACAAAGTAAAAATAGTACTACCATATGGTCCAGCTATCCCACTACTGAATATATATCCAAAGAAGATGAACACATTACACCAAAAATATGCTTGCGCTCCCGTGCACATTGCAGCGCTGTTTGCAATAGCTAAAGCATAGATTCATCCAGATGTGCATCAGTGGACGACTGGATAAAAAAAATGTAGCATATGTACATTGCAGAACATTATTCAGTCAGAGAAAATGAAATTATGTCATTTAACCAATATGAATGAAACTGGAGGTCATTCTGTGAAGTGAAATAAACTACACACAGAAAGCTAAATATCATATGTGCTTGCTCATTTGTGCAAATGAAAAACTGAACCTCATAAAAGAAAAGTAGCAGCAACTAGACTGGGAAAAAAGGATGGAAAGTTCGGGAAACAGCACCAAAGGATATTTAGGAGAAACTATTTTTGTTTTCTCTGTAGCCCAGTGGAGTAAATATGGATTAAAACAATCTATGATCTATTTAATACCCAGAAAAAAATGAAATTCTTAATATACAAAAATTATTAATGTTTGAAGAGATGGATACTTGTAACTCTGATTTGATTATTACACATTGTAATGTAGCAAATTACTATAATATGTCTCATAGATATACAAATAAAATTAAGGAAACCTCAGTTTCCTCCGCATAGGTAGGCAATTGAAGAGAATTATTATGTTGCCACCATTTAATCACTATTTCTTGGTTCTCCTATTCGCACATAAAATTCACACAAAGTAAAACATATTGAATATTCCTTTTATGACTTTTATCCTCTACTTTTAGAAGTTCAGAAAAATAAAGCATAAGAAAACAAGTCAAGTAGATAACACATACACATGAAAACATCATTTACTTCAGTTCAGTGTGCCCCGTATTTGGAAAGTAATAGCATTCTCTGGTTAGAAAATGAGACTCTAAAGTAAAAAAAAAGTTTTTCCATAGCTGTCTTTATTGAACATTATGTTTTATATGGAAGCATCAGTTTTACATTTAGAAAGAATACCATGAATATATATATAATGCTTTTGTAACAGGAAAAACTTAAAAGGAAAAAAAGAATTCACTGTCTTACAAGAACAGATTTATCCCTCTCTAGAGGTTAGAAGAGCAATTATGTTCCTTTGAGCAGCTGATGGAGGACATCATCAACCTGGAAGTGCTTCTCCACGAGAGACCTGTCAGCTTACCTTTGTATTAATAGAAATTACCTCTGAGACACATCTGTGGGGAGAGAAAAGTGATTTCAGTGAGTGGGATCTCTATTGTATTTTTCTATCCAAGCCAAAATATTCTTTCAGATCATCCTTCTAGCGACATTTCCTCAACTAAAAATAAAAGGAAAAAAAGCATGAAAATTTTACAAAATGTTTCTTTTTGCTAAATAAATTAAGTATGATCAAACAGTTCATAATTTATCATCAGCCTGACTTCTGGGTTGTCCCAGTGACACTGGTGGTTAAAGTGTGCACAAAAGTACACTGCACACTTACAGCTGGGCAGCATGCATCTTGGTAGGAGAACGCCCAGTAAGGTGAAGCGCTACTGACAGAGCAGAAATCAAATCAACACAAAGTGAGGTATTCACACTCTCACAGTATAACTTTCACTGATTCATCACTGATGAGTGTTTTGGGAGTAGAGCTCTTTCATAATAAATGTAATTAGTGTATTTGTAACAAACAAGAAGCATTACTTATTTATCTTAGGATACATTTCATTTTTTCACTGTTTCATGTATGTGAGAAAACACATGACTGAAAGAGCTTACAGTGATTTCTTCCGTCAGCAGGAACAGTTGAATAAAACAGGACTAGACACAAGTTAAACTTCTAAGCCCACAGAATTTGTTTTGGTGACACTGATCTTGCCCCGTGACAACAGCACTCTTATATTGTCTAGATTGCTCCCTTCACCCAAACATGAGTGAGCTGATAACAGCTTTTAAAGCATGTTCATTTTTCTTTAAGATTAGTACAGTAGCTCAGCCAAACATTAAACTTCTAACTGTGGAGTCAAACTGCTTTCCATAAAACTTAATTAAAAGAAGGAGCCTCTGAATGACATGTATATTTACTGAAATGCAGTATAATTCTGAATACAAATCTAGTAGTTTTGGGAGTCTGTGGTAATATGACTGTATAAACAGGAAAGATAGCGGAGGCTTTTTGTCCAAGTGTAATGTGAAGCTCAAGACCACATTTGCCTCCAGCAGCCTTTCCCACAGGTCTGAAGCATTGGCAGTGAGCCTTTCGGAGACCAGCACCCACACATCCCAAAACCCACTTACTTATTGCTAAATTCCAACAGCAATCAAATACAAACAGGTTTAGTTTAGAAAAAAGCCAGTGATACATTAATGTCTTTTGTCTTAAAAGAAAAACACATTAGCAAAGACTTCAGTGATACAAACAG